TCTTTGAAAAACATCAAAGAAAATACTGAAAATCAAATAAAAATTCGAATTTCGCGCGCTTTTACCGGCAGTTAGCCTAGAAAACTCACACCTGGCCGCTAGGCCACCGGTTCCCACTTTGACTTTTCAATGCCGTTTTTCTCAATGAAGGAATTTTTTGTTGAATTTTTCCTTTATTTTTAGGGGAATCTACATGGATTTCTGCACAAAATAAAGCGATAAAATTTTTCACCGCACACCACCTTTAAGAATTGTAATTTTTAAGTCAGAAATGAGCTATTTTTAGGCTAAAATAAAGCTATTTTTAGGCTAAATTAAAGCTATTTTTAGGCTAAATTTTAGGTGACAAAAATTGACATTTTTAGAGCCAAAAACAGAATTTTAACGAATCAAAATTGACATTTTTATGGCCAAAGAACTAAAATTTTATGGTTCAAAATTGATATTTTTTAGGTCATATATGTAATTTTTAAGCCCCAAAATAGACATTTCTGGAGCCGTATATAGAATTTTGAGGGATCAAAATAGACATTTTTAGGGTCATATATGACATTTTACGGCTTTAAAAATGACATTTCTAAAGACGTATATGACATTTTGAGGGATCAAAATTGATATTTTCAGAGCAATATATGAAACTTCAAAGCTCAAAAATGAGCCTTTTTTAGGCTCAAAAGGACGTTTTCAAAGGCAAAATTACCATTTTGAAGGCTAAAAATTTGACATTTCTAGCTGTTTTGATTCCTGAATTCCTTTTAATTTTCCATAGAAATTCAGTGAAAACGAACCCCGTAAATCGATTATCCTGATTGACCAACATTTGAAGATCACGAGCGGTGACACGAACAGTACGTGGGCGTGGAGCGGTCGACGTGCTAGCGGCGCCTTCCCACCTGAAAATTTTCTGTTTTAGCTCAATTTTCAGATCATTTTGCTCACTTCTTCGTTGGCCGACTACTGGACAATGCTGCAATCGCCGCCGCGTTCGCATCTCGATTCCTTTTCGCCTCGGCGTCCTGTCTCTGCATTTCTTTCGCCTTTTCAATCGTCTCCTTTCCGATATTCTTATTTTTACTGGCTCGAATCAGCGCATCCTTTTCTCGATTCTCACGCATCTCCTCTTCCTGACGATCGAGCTCCTCGAGGAATTTCAGTTGTCGTTTGACGTCATCCACAGGGACGTAGTTCTCGGGAATTCTGAAAAGCTTGGATCATTTATTGCCGGTTTTAGGAACTTTCACACCTTTGCGACTCGACTCGATGCTCCGCAAACCCGGCCATCATCGCTATCATCTCTCTTAAATGCGACTCGACCGCATCGGAAATCGCAATCAACGCGTCCTCCTCCACTTGGCACGGTGCCATCATTCGTTTCGTAATTCTATTCAGAATCTCATCGTGCTTCAGAATCGCAGATTTCAACGAGCCTTCTGGATATTGACGTCGTGGGGGAGGTGGAGCTGGAGATCCATCAACTTCCATAGGCTGTGGTCCCTGGGAAGAGACGGATTGTGGAGTTCTTGGTGGTTGGGAAGGCGGCATCTGTGGATGAGGTGGTTGCTGATGTGGTCCTGGTCCTTGTGGATGTCCTATTGGTCCTCCAGATATCGTACGGACTACTGGAGTAGATTGGAGCGGTGGTCCAGGTGGTCTTTGCTGGAAAATAACAGTGTTTTGAGGCTCAAAAACAAGTCTTTACCTGGAAATTAGGTCTTCCTTGTGGAGTACCGTTATCCACATTCATTCGATTCATCATTTGTTGTGGTCCTGGACCTCCTGGACCTCCTTGTGGCCCCGCTTGACTTATTGGAACTCCTTGATTCATTGGTGGATTCATTGGCGGACCTCTCATATCGTGTGGTGGCGCTTGTGGAGTCATATGCTGGGGTTGCTGCTGTTGTTGTGGAGGTGCTTGAGCTGTTGGTGGAGCATTCTGTGGATGACGTCCGTTGTTGAAGACGTAGCCGGGTGGTGGATTGACGCCTTCTACACTGGCGGTTCCTGGAAAAAATAGAAGGGTTTTTCATTGAATTTTTAATTATTTTACATAATTTTTGAGGTAATTTTTAGAAATTTGGGCCATTTTCAAATCGTTTCTGGAGTCATTTAGTGCTATTTGGACCGCTTTCTATGAAATTTAGACCAGTTTTTTATAGTTTCTGAATCGATCTCAGTGAATTTTCGATTATTTTTCAAGGGGTTTGGCCTATTTTTTGAAGAATTTTGAATAAATTTCAGCATAATTTCCTTCAAATTACAACAAACCATTTCGAACAGCATTCCTGAGTGCTGGCAACGTATTCTGAAGGAAAGGAAGAAGATGTGGTTGTGCTTGTGATCTGAGGACTTCTTGAAGATCACGTGTGAACTGCTCAGCTGTTGTTTCCATGTAGATAACGCCCTGAAAAGTGGATTTTGAAGATTTTTAGACTCCAAATGGCTTAAAAATCTAATTTGAGCTCAAAAAAGAGCCCTAAAAACCAGTTCTTACCTGAATCAAATTGCTGACTCTCAACGCTTTATCCGGCATCTCGGGGTCCTCATTTTGGGATAGACTAATCAACGTTTTCAAGAATCGCACACACTTTTGCACATTTTTATCCTCAGAATTCGGGTTTTGAGGCTGATTCGCTGAATTCTGAGGTGGAATTGGTGGCTGATTCATTATCTGAGGATGTTGAGGTTGTTGGACGAAGTGAGACATCTGTTGAGGTGTTGGTCCGCGTTGCTGCATCATTTGTGGTGGTGGTTCTGAACAAAAATTACTTTTTTTCAAAGGCTTTCTAGGTGGGAAATCGGAATTTTCCCAAATTACTAACGCGATGCCCCCATCATCTGATTCCTGGGTGGCGAGATCGGATCTTCCTGCTTTATTTGGTGCATCACATGCTGCTGCGGCTCCTGCTGTGATGGTATATCTTGCATCAGGTCCACCTCAACTTTCACTTGTGGCATCTGGAAGAGAAAATTGATTTTTTGTCAATTTATTTTTGAAATTTTCAAAACTTACTGATTCTGGTGGCATATTATTTACAGGTTGTTGTTGCTGATGGATTTGTTGAGGTGGTGGTGGTTGTTGTTGCAGCGGTGGCGGTGGACCTGAACGTTCGCCCAGCGCCTTTCCCTGAACGAGTCGAAAGCGAGGAAGGCTCATTTTCCCTGAAATTCTCTTTATTTTGGCTTTTTTGTTGAATTTTTGTGTGAAAATTATCAAGAAAATATCGGTGAGAATTCGAAAAATTCGTATATATTGAAAACGAAAAAAAAACCAATAATATACACTTTTCTGCTCTTTTTCCCCAATGTTTTATTCCAATTTTTAGCTGGAATTTCACTTTTTCGCATGTTTTTTTCGTTTTTCTTCGTTTTTCCTCGAGAAAATGGCGATTTATTTGAAAAACGAGCCAAAACGGACTGGGTTTTATACTCGTTGAGAGTGATCGTACGCGCATTCGCTGCGAGACCACGACCGCATTTGGTGGGCGGAGCCGCGTTGCGTGTCGCGTCGCGGTCGCCGCTGAATTCAACTGCGGGAAATACGGCGATTTAAACGAGGTTCTAGTCTAGCCAATCACTGATTATTTCGATTTTTCGAAAAAAAAATCTGAAAATGCGGGAAATTCGTATCCGGGCGGGAATTTTATCCGGAAAGTGACGAGATCGAGTCATTCCCAGTCATTTTTTATCGATTTGACCCAATTTTCGCAATAGTGTGCGTCCATAAAAAGCTTCCTCAGCTTTTTACCTTGAAATTAGTCATTTTTTAATGAGAAAACATCTGAAATTGGTTTAAAAAATAGGTTAGAATTCATTTTTCACTGAACAAAAATTTTGGGTTTTAAACATTTCTTGATGGTAATTGTCATCTTTTTCGAAGGAAGTTGATGAAATTCTCAGTATTTCCGCCTGAAAAGAGACTTTTCGTATGAATTTGTGTTTTTATGCCTGAAAGTGTAAGTTTCTTCGAATTCCCGCTTATCCATGCGGAAATTGGCTGAAAAGTGCATAGATTTTATCATGAGAGATCTTTTTTCCCCACTTTTCACACTTTCTTGTCGCTTTCACACCTTCCCGTCACACTCCTATCGATTTTCAATTGACCTCGATTTCCAATCATAAAAACTATAGTTTTTTCTTCCAGAATGGGTATCAAAAGCGACAAAAAAGCTACCAGCGATCAAGCGCGACTTCAGCGACTCACACTGGACGGAGTTTCCGGCACAGAGGAGGACATGCAGTTGATGATTAAGACCGTAAGTTTCTATGTCAATTCCAGAACACCCTGTTTTCGCTATTGTTGCGTCAATGTGATCTCTGAATCATAATGACGGGCACAGAAGGCACGTGATGTTGTTTTGTACTTAGATAGGAAGAGGAATCGGGGTTAGGCGTCGGTTTTCAGTGTAAATAAAAACTTCGATAGATAGAAAGGAAGGGGCAGATGGCAAATAAAATCGAAAAGAAAAGGACACAGAAAAAGCAGGTGTTCGCGCATGTTATCCAGATGTTGAGAGAATAATGGGTTCCCGCGCACAAGATAATGACCATAAGGAAAATTCTTGCAGATTACCGAAACCACCGGATGCACATCAGCACAAGCCGAGATAGCGTTGCTGGACAGAGACATGGTTCTGTACAGCGCAATCGATTACATCTTGGAGGCTGGCGACAAACTCGACTCATGGACCGAACAGAAGGGACCAAAGAAAGAGAAGAAGAAGTCGGATGAAGGCAGTTTCAACAGCAGAAACTTCCAGGGCAGAGGCGGCAGAGGTTTGTTTTTTATTCTTTGTTTGTCACGTTAAAACTTTTTTATAGGTGGAAGCACCGGTTTCGTCGACAGAGGTGGCCGCGGCCGTTCAAGCGGAGCGACACCACGCGAGAGCCGAGACACCCGGGATAATAATCGTGAGAATCGAGAGCCACGCGAGTTCCGTGAGCCCCGTGAGCCAAGAGGTGATTATAAAGAAGGAGGTCGAGGAGGTGATTTCAAAGAAGGTGGATCATCGCGCCCGAGCCGTGGTGGATTTGAAAGACCGTACGTTGGACGTGGACGAGGAGGCGGAAGCAGAGGAGGATACTCCAGAGCTGTGGCTCCATCGTCAACTCTTGATCCAGATGCATTCACTGCTGATCTTGAAGATGTAAGAATTTTTCAAAAATGATCATTCTAATTCTATCGAATTTTTTTAGAACTCGACCAAAGTTGATACCAACGTCACCGAAGTGCAACCACCAGTCGAGGAATCTGTCACCGCTACCGTACCAACTTCGTCGGCTCCAGCTCCAATCTCGTTCGCCGCTGTTGCAGCTGCCGCTCACCGTAAGGAGGCCCTACGAAAGCAACAAGCACAGAATCCGCAACCAGCACCACCACCAAGGCGGAGTCTGTCTCCACAACCACCGCTTCCATCACAAGCCGCTCCAGAAGAGAGTCCGGTGAAGGAGGAGCAAGAGCCAGCACAGTTCTCGGATGAACCAGAAACTTCGCAACAGCAAGATGAAGGATACTTCCAGGACGAACAGGCCCCAGCGGTTGAAGAGCAGACGCCGAACGTGTCAACTCACCATGATGAAAATGTACAAAGCTCACCAGATCAAGCCAATCAGGCGTGGACCAATCAACTGAAGTCATCGCTCGGAATTGGAATTCACGATGCACAAGAAGCTGTGTCCCCAACCCCGAGTGCTGCTCCAGTTCAGACCCTCCCTGATCCAGGAGTTGAATTTGTTGGAACCACTGCTCCAACCAACCTCCACGACTACTCATTTGGATTTGTTGATGCTCCCCCAAGCCCACAACTCCCACAACCTTCCGAACCATCCGCTGCATCGATCTCTACAAACAATGAAAACCTGTTTAACTCGCCCCGAATGATCCCGAAACAAGTTGAGGTGAGTTTGTCGAATTGGAACTTTGTGAAATTCTAATTTTCGTTGTTTTCAGCCAGAACGATCGCTTCCAAATGGCGATTACAACTTGAAATCCTCCTCTCCACCGTTGGGATACGGACAATCGAACCGAGGACTGTCGTATGACACTTCATCCTCCTCGTACCCACCAACGGATCGCCTGTCGTCCTCGAACAAGTTCAACAATCCTGGACAGCTTCCGTCGCAACAATCATCGCAACAACCACAGCAGCAAGTGCAGCAGCCGACTCAACAGCAGAATACGCCACCGGCTCAGCAGCAACAAGGACACCCACAGCATCCACAACAACACATGCTGTTTGCCCCGCAGATGCCGTACGGATACATGAACTCCTACATGAACATGTACAATCCAATGGGTGGAGTCCGCGATGATCAGTACGCTGCACTCATGCAGTACGGAATGGGAGTTGATTTGAGCAATCTGTCGACGATTCTCCCGCAGTCTGCTTCCCAGACACTGACCTCAAATGCACCACAAGTGCAATCAGGACAGCAACGAGAGACTCATGGACTTATGGACTTCAACAAGTTCGGATCACAAAGTGGACGTGATCAGCAACCACAGCAGCCGTCGAATGTTGGACCACCACCAGGGTTCCAAGCCAATTCGTACATGCAACAGCCAAACCTATCGTCGTTGTTCATGCAGCAGCCATACCCGGCCGCTCCACACACCTTCGGATTCATGAACATGATGCCGAATGTGGGAAACAGCGCCGGCGGCGGACGTCAGATGTACGGACAGGACGACGAGCGCAAGAGCTACGATAAGATGGCCGGCGCCAAGCCGTCAACTGCACAGAATCCGCACTCGCAGTATCAACACAATGGTGGAAATCTCGGAAAATATGGCAACATGAATAATAAGCCGTACAACTGGGGAAACTAACCGGTTTCGAACGTTCTCAGTCAGCACGACTTTGCTCCCATCCCCCTCCCTCTCCCAAAATAATAAAATGATCTGTTTTATTTTCTCTTCACATGTTCTTTATTTTTCTACGGATTTCCAAATAAATGTACCTGATGCTTAGTAGGTGTAGAAACCACTTTCATCAGGATTTAAGAGTATTCCAGAGTTATGACTTGTGCACTTGTAGTCGGCGCCACTTCCACACTGGGCAAAGCCATTGTCAGAAGGCTCGCGTTCGCTGGCTTCAAAGTGGCAGCCGCTGGAGATTGTCCTAATAGTGTAGGAAAGGTGGCCGAGGATAATAAGAAGGTTTAAAAAAAAAAACAAAAGGAGACTCATTACACGGGGCTAAAATTCTAGGTGGGCGGTGACGTGACAGCCTTCTCGCTGAACGTCTCCAATCCGGAGCATCGAAAGGAGCTTATTCAGAAGGTGGCTGAAAAGTTGGGCGGTCTGGACACTCTGGTAATTGTTCCACCGCAAAATGAAATCGTCGGAGAAATTGTGGAGACGTCAGACACGGATTTTGACAAGGTTCAGAAGAGGATTCAAGGATTTTGTAGAGAATTTTAGGGTTTTATTTTTCAGCTGTTCGCCGATATGCTGACCACACCATTCCGTTTATCACAAGCAGCACTTCCGCAGTTGGCGAAATCAGAGTAATTTTTTAAAAAAAATTTCCTGGTTGAAAATGCGAATTTTGAGCCTAAAAACGTATTTTTTTCAATTTTGGCTTGAATGTCTGAAAATCGCATTTTCAGACAGAAAATTGCGATTTTTCAGCCCAAAATAGTGAATTTCAACTCGAAATTATGGTTTTTGAATTATAAAAATGACAATTTTAAAAATAGAATTACCTAATTAATACCCTGAAAATCCATATTTTGGGTTGAAAATCATCAAATTTTAAGCTGAAAAACGACAATTTCCAACCTGAAATTGCCTAATTGACAGCTTGAAAATCCAAATGTTTGGCTAAAATCATGATATTTTGATTCGAAAAATGCTACATTTTCAGTCATTTTTTCAACCAAAAGCGGCAATTTCAAACTTTGATTTTTACCTGAAAAATTCGAATTTTGGGCCAAAAAAAATGCCAAATTTCAGTCATTTTAAAACTAAAAAAGCTCAAAAAATTACAATTTTCCACTCCAAAATGACGAATTTCCAATCTAAAATCGATTATTTTCAGGTTAAAATTGGCTTTTTTTGACCTGAAAAATCCGAATTTCGGGCATTTAAAGGGGGACTCCGACCAAAAATTTTTATTGCATTAAAAATGTTTCAAAAAATAGGTATTTTCATAATATTATAGAGAAAAAATCCAAAATCCCCGAAAAATGTCGTTAAAAGCGAAAAATTTTCAAAAAAAAAGTTGCTAGGAGCGGCGAGGATTTGAATTCCCGCGCAGTGAGAAACCTAGGCCACGGCGCCTGACAGCCGTTTTTTCAAGTGGCCGACAGTGGTTTTTCACGTTTTTTACCTGCCGGACATGAAATTGAAAAAAATCCGGAAAATTTGCCACGTAGGAAAGGCGCCCGCTGCCGTGGCCTAAGTTTCTCACTGCGCGGGAATTCATATTTTATTTTTTTTCAACGCCGTTTTTCGGGGTTTTAGGAATTTTTTTTGAATTTTTTCGCTGTAGTATTGGCAAAATACATAATTTGAAACATTTTAAGGCTATAAAAATTTTCTGGTCGGAGTCCCCTTTTAATTTCCACTTTTTTGTCTAAAAATCCGATTTTTGGGAAATTTTGAGCTTCAAAAAAAGCTAAATTTCAGTACTTCCCCCCCTCAAATACCCCTTTTTTGCAGAAACGGCAGTATCATCTACATAACATCATGTATGGGATACACCCCATCAATCGATATGGGTCTCTACTCGGTCGCCTCAAACAGTGTTCTCTCGTTAACAAAAGCAGTCGCCCAGTCGGCGGCGAAAAAAGGCGTTCGTGTGAATAGTGTGGTGTCTGGAATGGTCGAAGGAGACGGTTCGGGAGCTGTGTGGGACCAGACGAATGGGGAGGAAGCGAGACAAATCAAACAACATTTGGAGGCGATGATACCGTTGGGACGGTTGGGACGGCCAGCCGATGTTGCTAGTTATGTCGAGTTTTTGGCATCCACGCGATCAAGGTTGGTTTTAGATTCATTTAAAAAACTGAAATTTGCTTAAAAATGCTAAGTTTTCGCTAAAAAAATGACTATTTTTAGTACAAAAATCACAGATTTGAAAGCTAAAAACAGCTATTTTGACCGGAAAATTGCTGATTTTAATCCGAAAAATGACTTATTTTGAAGCGAAAAATAGCTAGTTTGACCTAAAACTAGCCGATTTTCAGTCCTAAATTGCGGAATTTTTTCCACCTTTTGACTGAAAATTTCCAATTTTGACATGAAAATGGCTGATTTTTTCGGCCTGAAAATTAGACTGGTTTCGGGTGAAAAATCGTTGATTTTGAGACTAAATATGACCTATTTTTTCCGAAAAATTACTTATTTTCAAGCAAAAAAGTCGAATTTTGACTTTAAAAAAGCTGATTCTTTAGTCAAAAAACGTCCAATTTTCCCCTGAAAAATGACGGTTTCAGAGCCGGAATCTCATTTTTATGCCTAAAAAATTACGAATTTTCAAAAAAAAAACGCCCATTCTAAAGTTAAGAATATCGATTTTTGGGGATCTAAAAATCTGAAATTAGCTGAAAATGGCTGATTTTTAGTCTAAAAATGTCCAAAATTTCCCGAAAATTGACTGATTTTGAAGCTAAAAATAATAAATTTTCGACTGGAAAACGTCTAAATTTAGACTGAAAATTAATGATTTTCAAGCTCAAAAATGGCTAGATTTGGCTGGAAAAAGGTTCATTTACAGTCTTAAAATATCGATTTTCAGGGCTAAAAATCGTGGATTTTAAAGGGGGACTCCGACCAAAAATTTTTATTGCATTAAAATGTGTTAAAAGTTATCTATTTTCCGAATATTATTGCGAAAAAATTCAAAAAAAATCCGAAATCCCCGAAAAACGGCGTTGAAAAGGAAGAAAATTCAAAAAAAGGTGCCGCCGGGGGACGAGGATTTTCAGTGAGAAACCTAGGCCACGGCAGCGGGCGCCTTTCCTATGTGGCAATTTTTTTGGATTTTTTTCAATTTCATGTCCGGACAGGTAAAAA